TCAAGATCAATTTAAAAAAATCGTATCCGTTAAAGTTTAAATGAAAAAGTAATTATATTTTTAATGCGATTTTGGTTGTTTTGACAATCGTGGAAATATTGTATTATTTAATTATTTCTTTATCTCTCTCACCARAAGATAATGTCTAACAGCTGTTATACAGGGCCGCAGCATGCGATTGATGAATATTATGAATTATGATAAATAATGATATCGTATAAATTACGAAGATAGCGATCCATCTGCAGTTGTACATTTTATACTGGTTAATACACTGGCATCATCAGCTGTTACACAAACGCCTATAAAACTGTAATAACCTATACATTGGATTTTACGATTTATATACATGTGCGATTTTATTTAGTTTTTTTTATGCGAAAAAYATTTTTAATGGCGTTGTTAATGCGCTTTCGCGTGTAGTTAATCCGCCGGAAAATACGCGTATAATAATAATATATTATACACTGTGCGTCGTATATAAGTTGCACATGGCATTGAATCGAGATTGTTAAAATTTCATTATTGTGCTTCGATACAACTCCGAAATAGATAAATTATTCCAGTACGCGCATCATATATTGTGTACATATCGCACGGAGTTTCTGTGTAAACGTCCAACGTTAGGTTAGGTACTATTTTCGTTGTACATAATATAATATATAGGTGATGTCGGTAACTCTGGTATAAAAGTATTGCCTTWTAGAGTATAGAGAACCTCTAAAAATAATTACACCTTAAAATCCCGATCAGAAAACCATGACCATCGTATGTGACCATTTTATACAGAGTGACCATCAGCTGTTAAAGCTGTGTATATAACATATCGTGTGTGCTTATGATAATCGTCATCATCTAGGCAGAGGTGGCGAACCTACGACACGTACATCATATTGCAATGGTCCGCGAAAAATTTAAATTTAAAATAAAAAATATGATATTTATAAATTTTATTTATGAGAAATTCAAAGAAACAAATTACCTACATACATTAAAAAAATTATAATATTCTTACTTAAAATTTATTACGCTAATATATTTATTAGTACTATTAAGTATTTACGATTGGGCACGTGCAAAATTTTTAAAACCT